AATAGGCTTCTGACAAATATCGAGGAACAAAAGAAATTAATGTTCGACAACCTGCAATAGTATTATTGAATCCTGAAGATGCAGGCTCATTATTAGAAGAATCAATTACTGATCTTCAAAAGAAAACAGCAGCATATTGGAATGAAAGGGCATTCATTTATATCATGGGTAATTGTTTATTAACTAGTGGATACCTTATATAATTTAGAACTATACTTCTTTTACCATATATATATATATATATATATATATACTATTCTAGGTTCTGATGAATACTTTTACAGACCGCAACATCGAGTGACAACAAATCCAAATAATAGTCAAGTATCAAATGAAGGTTCACCATCTATGAAAAGTAATGAAGCACCTATAGGTGCACCTGATGAATGGGAAAAAATGATTCAACACTACCAACAGAAACATAAAAAATAATCAACTCGAACTTTCATTCGAATAGTATTCACATTGTTACTTGTAATTATTTTCAATGGTTGTGTCTGTTTCAACTGATGAATTCTCAACTTGTTTTTGATTTTTGTTTATTAACTTTTCACTTCTATGTATTGACTAGAAGCATTATTATTTCATATATTTCATTTATTTTTGTATATTTGGCTACTCTATATTCCTGTAGTCATACAATGACATATTTCATTCTTGTAGATATATATATATATATATATCCAAATTTATCATAATGAACTTCACCTTTAATCAACTACAATAATAAATGTACGAAATAATCCAGATAACAACAACAACAGTCTATTCTTCTCATTGGCATAAGAAAACCACCACTATAAATAAAAGATTGTAGACCCAAATATCAATACTTCCTGTGATGGATACCAAGTACTTCTATGACATGACCTACCTAATATATGAATAATTCAATACATGCTTTGATATTGATGCATACACAGGTAGATATTGTATAGATATTGTAATTGAGACATGGATAACCAGCATGTATTCAAATCTTCAGATTATATTTGCAGTTAATCTCTCCAAAAAAAAAACATATCAAATATCATAGTCTAAGTGTTATATTTCAAACTAGAATTCCAGTATAAACTTAAAACTTTCACATGCAAAGCATCTTCGTAAAAAAAAACAGTAAATCATACAATCTCACATATAAAACATCATCACAGCTGCTGTGGATGCGACGAAATGTGTTCCATACGAGGCGACGCATACTGAATCTCAAAACTACTTTATCAGAACTGAAGCAATAAGAGTAATACAGATAGAAACTGAAACAATCAACCATTGAATATTGCAAGTATAAATTAAAAATTTGAAATTTGAAATGTCACTTCAAGTCGCTTTCGTGTACGAGAATTCTCTAAAATTTGTACAAGTGACTCTAATATTTTCACTACATTAATAATTCAGAGAGAGAGAGAGTTCCAACATATCTACAATGACATCAAAGTAGATGCTCGATGAGGTCAGTGACAAAAGTTCTATCGATGACTGATGACCATCTCAATGTCGAAAATCATTCATATTATAAATTTTGGAAACTATATTATGATAGTTGACACCACCAAACACTTCGTACCTATAATCTGATTGGTTGTTCGGAGTGATCACTACTCATTCACCGATTTATTTCTCAGAAACGAATTTCAATATATATACCTCCAAACGACATATTTCAATGTGATATTCGTATCACATGGAATTCTCAACTGCAATGGTTTGCAGCATGTATCAAACGAGGTGACTAAAAGTCAAGTCAAAACTCGTTCTGGTACCCCCACCACTATCACCATTGTCGGTGAATAATTTTTACACTTTTGTTTTTCATTTCATCTGAGAACAATTCTAACCGTGCACATACCACTAAACAGTCTGAGGAGGAGACCCTTAAGCAAGATTCAAATCGCCATCTTGTGGTATTTTATATTAGTATAGGTTTCTGAAATGGTCATAGAGAAAAATTATTGAATATAACAGTTCGATTGACTAAGATAGCAATGTTACTCGCCAGACAGATCGGAGGTGGGACATAGGACACAGGAGATGTGAATATACACTATAACAGACTTTTACAGACATTTGACTGATCATAAGATCATATTTCAGTATCAAACAATATTCATCTGTAACATTATTTGATATGTACTTGTTGCTCTCTCATCTTTGTAGAATTACTCCACTTCATATCCTACTTGTTGCCCGCTCACTTCATACCCATACAGCATATCGCAATATTGTGGGTGAAGGCGAAAGGACTTTCTCATCATCAGACATTTCCTTTCTAACAACACTAATGAGTCCATTAAGCAAGGAAGAAACGCGTCGTGTGATGCTTTGAATTTCAAGTCTTTGAGTTCTAAATTAACTTTTGTAGTACGGTCTTATCTATTACTTCTTCAGTATTTGGAGGGTTCTAGATATATGTACTATAGATTGTGAAGATACCTGACGATGACCCTTAAGCAAGGTCGAAACGCGTCGTGTCGATGCTTTCAATCTAAAACTTCTTAATAATAATTTAATATTGTTATTCGGATCTTTGTAGTACGGTCTTATCTATTACTTCTTCAGTATTTGGAGGGTTCTAGATATATGTACTATAGATTGTGAAGATACCTGACGATGACCCTTAAGCAAGGTCGAAACGCGTCGTGTCGATGCTTTCAATCTAAAACTTCTTAATAATAATTTAATATTGTTATTCGGATCTTTGTAGTACGGTATTATCTATTACTTCTTCAGTATTTGGAGGGTTCTAGATATATGTACTATAGATTGTAAAGATACCTGACGATGACCCTTAAGCAAGGTCGAAACGCGTCGTGTCGATGCTTTCAATCTAAAACTTCTTAATAATAATTTAATTTTGTTATTCGGAACTTTTGTAGTACG